TTTTAAAATAATACCTTTCCAATAACATGTTTAGGATCAATTTTATCCAGTATAATTTCTTCTATTGGATCAACTGAACATTGTGATGGACGCCATCTTATAACATACACCTGTATTTGTGCTTCATACTTCTTCTCTGGTCCTAACAAAATAATACACTAACATTAAACTTACTATAAAATGCATCTAGTACGTACAGTACAATATACTAAAAATATAATTGAGATATGTTGCAAAAGTAAAGATTAAAGACAGTTTTTATAACAAAAGGACAACTATGATAAAGACAAAGACTGAACTCAGGAATATCCACCCACATTAATAACAATTATAATAATACACTATACACATTAATACTAACACATACAGCAGATATACTGACCTGTCAATGGTTCCACATACATTTCCATACTAGTACTAGTATAAATCCACTCAACATCAAAATATACTGAACCAGGGAACACTTCTCTCTTGTTACGTAATCTCATTCTAAATAATAAGTCACATGATGTACCATATGGGTGTAAAATTTTACGATTAGGCTACATTTTTCTATTTGCAAAAATAAAATTTCACAATTTTAATGCAATTACGACACCTACTACAATTATAGAGCTGTTGTATGGAAGTAATCAACGGGGAGGTGTGGCTACGACTGTCCGCCAAGTTGGGTGGCAAGAATGCACATGGAACAAATGGAGATATAGAAACAAGCTGGAATTTTCCAAAAAGGAGATGTTATACTTGGCTGTAGAAAATTATAGAGAGTTCTTCACTCAATACCTTCATCTCCTAGCTTGTATTAGCCTGTAATGTCAACTGCAGAATTTATTCAGATTTTTTCTCCATTCTCCCCATTTCACCAAATACATTCTTGCCATCCAACATGGCAGACACTCATAGCTGCACCCCCCCCCGTTGATTACTTCTGTGCAACAGCTCTATCACGCTATTTTGTGGATTTTAACTTTGCAATTTTTTTTGCAAAATGCAAAAATTGCAAAAATTTAATCCCTGCAAAACAGATGGCATATACATGTATGGTATTTACTTGTCTAATTCAAGGACACAGTCAATTCCTTGTACTTTTGCTTCTTCAATAATTTGTTTCTTAAATTCTCTCACTGGTGTACCCTCAGCATAAATAGTGTACATCATATACTTACAAAACTAACAATAAAAAATCAATACAAATTATAATAATGAAATATTCTTATACTTCTGTATTTTTAACTTGTAATAAATATAATTTAATTCTGTACTCTCCTCTTCCTGCTGCTCTACCCAGTCTTACTATCAACTAGTGGTATAAACAATTATAAAGTTAATCAAAATAACACACATACCGTATAGCGGGTTTTTTCAAGGATAATAAATTCCGCGAATGACCCATATCCGGAAGTTTGCGGAATTAATTTTCGCGAATTTCCATTAATCTGCCATCTTGTACCGTATTAAATTGATTTTCAAGGAATTTAATTTCGCGAATCATGAAAAAATCCACGAAATTCGCGAAATTTGTTATCCTCAAAAAAAAACCCGCTATACGGTACATCAAGAGTAGATAATAATTAGAGGAGAGTGTCCCCTGGCAATAGGGTCTGCTTCATCATGGCATAGAATTGAAAAGTCACATTCAGGTTATTTCCGTATTTTCATTGAGTTTGAGTAGTTATTGCTAGTTTATTTTCGAATAACTACTCAAAAATACTGAAAATAACCGGAATGTGACTCTTCAATTCTACGCCATGATGAAGCAGGCGGTATAGGCACAGTAGGACACTCTCCTCTAATTATTATCTACTCTTGCATACATGTACCTTTGATCCACAATACTCTAATGTCCGATCCAGTTCCTCCATTTCATATTCTTTATTATCCCTGATCTCATACACTATAAAACCAGTAGATGGTACACCAATCAGTGGAACTAGCTCCTCCTTCAATTGAGCTAATGTTATTTTCTTATCAACTTGTGCCTGTATCTCTGTATTGAATAATAAATGATTAATTAAACACTGTATAGCTAGAAATATTTGCTGAAATTTAATTTTGGATTGCTGTTTATTACAAAGAGCTCACACTTACACCAGCAAAATTCAATTCCACATACTGTAGGGCACTCTTTTTTCAAGGGCTATATACTTCAAGCTCCTTTTTTTAGTGAAAGTAAATTTTGCAAATCATACCTCCCTCACACCCTTTAACTGACACAATTGCTCTCTGAGGTACATGATTTGACAGAGGACCAGCAGAGTTCGGAAAAAGCCCAAAAAACATCAACTCTACTATTCCAAAAACACTATTTTTACTTTAAAATAGAGGTGGGACAAATGTAAAGTTTTAGCATTCAAACATTCCGTTGACCAAAATGTCCTAGGTCCTGTAGCAATTGACACACCCCCTTGCAATTATTCAATGCCGCAATATTTGCGAATTCCCAAAATATATAGCCCTCAAAAAAAGAGTGCCCTATACATTAAATTTTGCTTGTTAGCACAAAATTGCAAGTCAATATTAATTTACTTCTTTCTTTTCCTTTATTTTCCATTGGTATAATTTTCACTATTATTTCTCCTCCAGTTACATTAGTTGTAGAGGGAGTAGTTTCAGGTCCAGGAGGTAGTGTAATGTTCAGTAGTATTAAGCTGACAGGAAGACCAACATATCTGTACATCAAACTATCTTTGTATTCTTTTTTATAATCTTCAGGATCTGATGATACATACACTAACTGAAAGAATACAGTGTGTGTGTAAAGACAATAAAAAGAAGAAAAAGGAGTAAAAATAAAAAAGTGAGAAAATAATTCTAAATCATGATAGGTTAATGATAGCTATAGTATAAATATTAGTAGCAAATTAATATTGGTGGATTTAATTAGTATTTACAATGTACATGAAAAATTTTCAATATAAAACAAGCCATTTTGTAACTTTTGTTTCATTTGCATATACACATGGGTTAGCTGTATAAAAGAACTAATGGTATTTCTTGGAGAAATTACAAACAAAACTCTCATCAAAATATTCCATTACAGTATTAATGTTAGTATGTTAGTACTTGTCTGTCTTTGTAAGTTGATTTTCTGAATATCTTGTCTAAAGTACATCCTACATCACTAATATCAGTAAAATCATCATAATTCTTCACTACTAGTCTCATACATGATGAATTGATATAAAATAACTAGAGAAAGAAGGATTAGATCAATGGAGGGAGGGAAGGCAAACAATACTGATTCATATCTTTCCTGTAAATGACGTTTCCAATTAATTTTGTTATTCATTGGGATACCATAAATTTGAAATTTTTTCAGCCCGCCAATGTGGAGGTATACTATCATTTGCTACAATGGACTAACAGGCTAAAAACTGTCAATTCTACTTCTCCACTTCATTCCAGTGGCTCCAAACAGTTGCAGAGCTATGAAAAGAAATATAAAGGTTGCAATTTTCCACTCTTGAGGCTATAACTGCTTGCTTTTCTTACAAAACAGCAGAAAGTGTATTGAGTTCCATTGAAAACAGTCCAACAATACCTCCACAATGGCGGCCTGAAAAACTTAATTTTCAATTTAAGGCATCCCAATAAATATCATTATTATAAACATCATTCACAGAAAAAATATAAATGATAACAATACATTTTATATCATTACTTCTCCTATACGGTGTTTAAATTCTCCAACAGTCCAGCCTTCTTCAACTCTCACTAGTTCAGCTGGTCCTACTTTACCAATTGACAGATGAATCACTGATATCTTTAGATAAATAGCTACACCATTAACACATGTAATTAGAGGCATTGTCATTATAACCAACCACACTCACCTCCATCATGGTATTTATCAAAAATTTCATTTTCTTTACGAGTTTCTATGAATAAGTCAAAAGGATAATAACGTCTAGCCCCACCCACAATCTGTCCAATAGTTTGATGCTGAAACCAAAAAATAACAATAACAACAGGATACACAAACCTTAATTATACCTCATCAAGGTCAAAGGACTGTTCCATCAAATCATTATCATAATCATATTTAACTAAACGACATCTCTCAATAGGAATATGAGGAGCTAATTCCATTAACTGATAAAGAAATGAGCAAAATAATAGAAATGAAAAAAATGAAAGAATAACTAGAAATCAACTAAAAATAATAAACCTCATAAGCTTTATCCAGTGCTGTGGGTAGTAGTTCATCTTTGTGTACTTTAAGTATTGACTCCAAAAATTCATCAGCAAAAGGATGATCACAATATAATTTGAACTAATTAAAAAGAGTACCTACATGCATATCATTGTCTGATTTCACTTACTGAACATATTTGATCCTTCATTTCATCATTCAGACCATCATACTCAATCTCTTCATCACTAGTCTCTTTGTCTTTAACCACTAAATCTATTAATTATTATATAATCAAATGATGTCACACATCATCAATAAAACCTTTAATATCTTTTATAATCTTTTCATTATGTTCTCTTTCAGTAATTAGTTCCATATTCATTAATGTTATTCTTTCTTGTAATTTCTCTATTATTCTTTTATTATCTACTAATGGCTGATAGTCTGGTCTTGTCATTGCTTGAAGATGAAATTTGCAGTCATCAATTTCAAAAGACATTCCTCTTCTCACTTTGCTAGCAGCTTTAATTAATCATTATAACTAGTATATAATTAATAAAACTACTCTAACCTGAATCAGTATTACTAGAAAGTGATCTCAAATACTCAATTTTCATTTTTGATAATTTGTCTGATAATTCTTTGTTTTCTTTTTGTATCTCATTAAACTGAGAGCTCGATACAATCAACTCTTCATAAAGTGGTTCTTCCTATTAATAATTATTATAATTAATACAAACTAGTGAGATATACCTCAACTTCTTTAATTGATTCAGTATCACTTTGAACAGACAATGATTCTTCCTAATAATCAAAATAAATTATTATCATACAGTACAGCTGCAAATATTACAGCTAAGAGTTAAATTTGACAATTTGTTTACAATTTGCAATTGGCAGATTTTATATTGGCAATTTAGTACCCAAGTGACACTGCATAAGCATGCTCAGAATGAGACAAAATGGCAGATTCTATTTTGGCAGATGTTTACTGCAACTGCCAATCTATCAAATAATTTCAGCTACATTGTACACAGTAAAGTGGTACTTAAAGTATTTGATACAAAAAACAAGTGTTGATGATTATCAACTCTTGGGAAAACACACATCAACACATAGCAAGGCAAAGTCTATGAATAAATAGTATAGCAAGCTAGGCTATATGTGAGAATGGAATTGTAGAGAAAAAATATTGCTGCCTATATGGGTAAGGACAATCAATTGCCATCAAGTATTGACAAGTAAATGTTCAAGGAATTTTTGCGATTAACACACTTGACAATTATGATGACATATAGTGCAATAAATAATATCTGACCTCTAGTACTTTCATCATTGATAGTTCTTGTTTCAATTCAATTGTTTCCTATTATAAGTACAAGCAAAAAGCATCAATAAATTAAATGTACATCAAAGAGTTTGGTACATACCTTCTCTTCGCTACTGATAGTATCTCTTAGTTTATATTCAGCTTCTTCAAGTATAATATAAGAAATAACCTATTAACAATAGTATTTAAAATTGCACTTTTATACGAAGCAAATTTTAACTAACTTCTATATGCAATAAGTCTTGATCATTTTCTTTTAGTTCCTATACATGGCATACAAAAAGAATATTCATAAAACAATACCGTACAAGATGATGTATCGGCAAGGAATTAATATTGGTGGTTCTATGAAGAAATCGCCAATATTAAATCAATCCACCTTTTTGTTTCAAACTGAGCATGCTCAATGGCATCATACGGCACAAAATCACCAATATAAAATTCGTCATAAACTTTCAACAGGCAAACTCGCCAAATATTACTCTTGCCAATAAATCATCTTGTACAATATCAATTAGTTATATTATGTACCTTTTGTCTAACATCTTGTCTCCTCCATAATGTTAAGTTACCAATAGTCAGTTTCTTTAATCCTTGTCCCATTAGTATATGAATATTCTCTATCATCCTCAATACAGTAAACCCAACATCAGAGAAAGGAAAGGAGCAAGTGACAGATATTGAAGTGGAGGTTTCTATATACTTAATGACTAGTAGTTTACCGGACACTTTTGACAGTATATCCTTAATATCCTTCAGTACATGTTCCTTAGGCTCCCAGTCAAAGATAAAAGTAACCGTTTCACATTGAAGATGAGAAATGGAAACAAATCTTTCTTTCAAACAAAGACTGATGGAGAGTGAGTTGCAGAATTCCTTTAACTTTGTTTTATATTCTTTAATGTATTCATCTGCTTCAGTGATCTTAATCTCATCCACTACAGTATGAAGGAGTGCAATATTAGTCAGTGAACACTCATTTTGAATTAAATGCAAGAGACTAGAAATATCACGGCACTTCTTCACTTTTTCACTAAGAACTGGGCTACAACAAGACAGGAGTTCTTTTATATCTTTCAGTGAACAGCGTTTATGTTTAACAATCTTGCCAACATTGTAAAACATCCTTCCGTAAGACATTCTCATTGAGGTAAAATCCACCAGTAAGCCTTCTGGAACAGGAACATGTACTTTAACTATAAAAGATAGTTTTAATTACTTCTGTAGTACATGTACATACATGTAAAAGGTGTACATACATACGTGTACATACTAATGGTGGGATGAAGTAAAATTTAGTGTGTTCGAACCTTCTTTCACTAAATATTCGAATACTTTGAAGCTTCGACAGGAAGTAACAAGTGGTTATTTAAAATTTCATAGTTTACTTATGCAGTTTCACAGTTTATATTATTGGTTAATTTCAAAACAAATCATAATTTTTATTTAAGAATATCAATGCATTTACATTTTTTGGTTTGAGACAATTTCGTTTCTGAGTAACCATATTCCCTGCAGTAGAGAAAATGGGTTCTGATGGTGTAGATGTGGCTGGAATGTGAAGAAAGTCCAGCTGCTTGACTTAATAAAGGAAACCTTTTAGAATTATCTTTCCACCACATACTTGGTGAGGTTTCTCGAGACAGTTCTATCTCTGCTAGATAGCTGTTTAGTTCTTCTCTGACTGTAACGATGGATCCAAGTAAGCAGTCAAGTGCTATTAGTTTCTTTCTTTTACTGCTATTTTCTTCAAGTGTATCTTCCTCTGGATCTTCTTCTCTTGTATCTTCAATCTCTATACTACCTGCTTCTTTCTCTGCTTCTGCTTTCTCTTTAATCTACTCCATTCTGTCCAAGACTTCTTCCTTGTTGCTCTCCTTTATATCTCGATCAGTAAGCATTGAGCTCAATAGCAAAATATTATCATAAGTGAAGGCATCAAAACTCCATCTTCTCTTAATTTCCCCACTGACTTCCTCCTTAAACTTATCAGTGTATAACAGATGGCTCATCAACTACTGCACTTAAACTCTGCAAGATACTATGTAGTACAGGAAGAACGCATGAGATCGATGGACTCTCTTCATAGCTAAAGAACATTGTAGCAACATTAAATGGTTTAAGGGCCTTGACTAGTTCTGAAGCAATCTCCCACTGCTCACCTTTCAGGTCTAAGTATAGCGGTCGCTCCTTTTAGTGACTGTATCATCAGCTAGCATAGCAGTAATAGGCCAACGTAATTCAATTAGGCGTTGTAGCATCAGAAATGAAGAGTTCCATCCAGTTGAACAGTCTTTAATTAGCTTCTTAAACTTGCAATTGCTATCTGTACTCATCTGTTGTTGTTTCCTCTTCAACACTTCAGTAGCAACTGCGTTATGGTTGAAATGACCAATGAACTTTCTAGCTGCTGACATTAGTCAGCTAATTGCTGCTATCTCAAAGCCTGGTTTTAAGCAAAGTTGCAGGCAATGAGCTACACAGTTAAGGCCCTTCCAGCCTCTATCAGAGTCCAGGATATCTAAGGAAGACAGCATATTTGCAGCTTGGTCATGAACAATGACAGATATGCGAGAGCCAATGTTGAAATCATCCATGATATCCTGCAGCTTAGCAATTTCTATCCCAGTATGGCGCTTGGGGGAAGGAGAAGTTTCCAGAACATAGGCGTTCAGCTGCCATGATGAATCAAAGAAGTGAGCTCTTACAGTAATGTATGCCTCCACTGCTCTGCTTGTCCAAATGTCTGCTGTCAAAGCGATGCTTCTTGGCTCTTCTAGTTTGGTACGCAAAGATCCTTTACAGGTCGAGTATTTCATCTGCAACAGGCTACTGAAGTGCTTCCTACAAGGTATTTTGTATCCCAGAACAAGATGGGCCATTAGCATATTGAAACTTCTACTTTCTACTAACTTGACGGAATGAAAATCAGCACAGATCATGTAAAGAATACACTCTGTAATAGCTTTGGATTCTGCTTCAGAACACATCTTAGATTTGAAAGAGAGAGTGCCCTATGTCTTCTTTGTAGTGGCGGATGTCTTGGTTGTAGTGTTGTTGCTACTTGGAGAGTAAAACAAGGGATGTTTAGCAACTACATGTAAGTGATCTCTCAAATTTGTCGTTTCACCTCTATAAGCCAACAGATTCTGGCAAATGTCACACTTGGCCTTGGCTTCTCCGTTCACTTTCTTAAAGTATTTCCAAACATCAGATCCTTTTCTGGTTGTAGACTCAGTAGAGGCCGGGGCAGAAACAGTAGTAGTAGTAACGCTGTTAACACTCTCTGCCATAACAAGCAAGCAATTATTAAATAGTGAGCACATGTAAATAATTAGTGAGCGTGGCCTAGAACTGTGCATGCGCATAAGTGCAAAGAAGCTACTGTAGCTAAAATCTATTCGAATAGCATTCAAAGCTTCGAATCCTTCAAATTAATCAAATATTAATCCCACCATTAGTATATACCTTGAGGTGATAAAGGTTGTGAAGAGGAATTACTAGCAACTGCTGCATCAGAAGATGTGTCTATAAATTTAAAAATACATAATGAAGCAATTTTATTGGACCGTATATCTATTAATACCAGATTGTGTTGACTTGATTTGATCAGTACTTGTATTATCTATAGATATTAATGATTTTATTATCATTTTATTGGTACTTAATACCTTGTGGAACTACACAATAATCTTTAGAAGTCTCAGGAACTATACTCACTTCAGGAGTAGGGAAATACTTACCTAAACACAATAATAAACAAACAGATTAGCATATACTGAACAGCATCAATAGATTTTAATTAACAAAAAAGACATCATACTCACTAATATCATCCAGTATAGTTTGTCCTAGTGATACATTAGTACTTATTGTACACAATACATTA